TCTTTCTGCTGCCCTTCATTTTACTTGTGATTTGTATTTTTTGTTGTATATAGAATTAGTTTTTTTCTTAAATGAAATTAATAAAAAAATCATTCAAAAAAGTTATCAGAAGTGCAGGATGAGAGATCTACTTTTTGTTCAGCTATGTGTCGGTTTCATGAGACACAATGACAGATAAAGATTCAGAATTAAAATGGTCGATATATTCATCAGAGGAAAGAACCCTAATGGTAAAATATGACTCGGGTAATTATGTCAATCTGAAAAGAGAACATCTTACATAAGAGTCTGGTTTTAAAATGTATGCAATGCCATGTTTTTGGAGACAAAGGGTAAACCAATTGTAGAGGTTTAACTGAAAATATTTCAGTGTTTCAGAGATATGTCACTAACATCGACACGGGTGGTTATAAAAAGAGTTAGAGCCTTTATTAATTAATATTTTTGCAGCTTGTCTGTGTGAATGTAATTCCGCCTCAGACCGCTGGGGGCGGATGTGGACAACTGTACTTTGCTGCTGATGTTTTATGCGGCGCAGAAGAAGAAACCAGGACGTTTCATAAAATTACCTTCTGGAGCCTGCAAAGTGAGGATTGGGACATGTCTGCACTTTTTAAAGCAAGAAGGGGTGAGTACGTGGAGACAATAAAGGCGTTCTGATTAAAAACTGATGATTGTTCGCCCAGTTTTACCCCGTGACATCCGGTTAGTAGCTTAGCTTACTGACTTGACACGAGCAGGGAACGAGCCTGGTGTTTGATCGTATTTTGATAAGTTTGTAACTCACACCCAGCAGGTAAGACGTATTGTTGTCTGCAGTTTCAGAGAGGCGGGGAGCACAATAAAGGTGCACACAGTATGTTACTAAAAGCAGGTCAGTGCACTGTTTAAATGAAGATGGTGAAAATGACCTTTCACCCAGTTTGTTGGTGCTGCGTTCAAAGATGCTCTCCACGGTGGGATTTCCTAAAGATGCCAGGAAAAACTGTCCTTAAGAGGCTACAATTTAAGCATCTTTTTGTAGATTTGAATTAAACCGCGTCCAGACATTTAGCTGGTGCCTCTCATTGTTTATTTGGCTGTGTTTATGAAGCCATGCTGCTGTAACAGGTGCAGTATGGTTTAGTATTGTTTTGAAAAAGACAATCTAAAGAAGAGCATTTTGTTGTTCTAAAACCTGTCTATATTTTTCTGACTTAATAGTGCACCATCTTGTGTAGGCTACTTATACCATAGGCCAGGGGTCTGCAATCAAAAGAGTCAACAGAATACAGTGTGTAAAATAAGTATTGAACACGTCAACATTTTTCTCAGTAAATATATTACTAGAGGTGCTAATGACATGAAATTTTCACCAGATGTCGGTAACAACC